GCCCCCAGCACCACGTGGGCAGGGATGGAAAGTTACCCGTTCGTCAAGGGCGGAGGCTCCGCCCACCCGGGGCAGGGGGCGGGGCCGAGCTGCCCCGCCGCTGGGGGGCGGCCTGGGGACCCTGCCCGCGGCGGACAGACCTGGCAGCGCACGGTAAGGGCAGACCCAGCCTTTATTGAACCTGTTGGTCCCGCCCCAGCCCTGCTCTGCAGGGGGGCCGGGTTCCCTCCGTCCCCACTCTGCCTGGGCTAGCGGGGCAGGGGGATGGAGCTTGAAGGTGGTGGGGGACAAAGCAGCAGGGCATGAGGGTGATGGGGCATGGGGACAGGGAACTGAGTCATAAAGGTGATGGGGCATGGAGACAACAGGCGTGGGGACCAGACAGCAGAGCATGGGGTCCCAGGCATTTGGTGGAGGCAGGGTGGGAGCAAGGAGTGAGGCCTGCAGGACAGTGAGGTTTGGGGCAGCAGGGGTGCAAAGCATGTGGAGGGCAGGGATGCAGGAGTCCATCACACTCCCACGTAGCTGCTCTTGTAAGGGCTGTGCTCACGGGGGGCAGGTGGGGCACTGGGCACCACCAGTGGCGAGTGGTTGTTGTTCTCCTGGAGGGTCTCATAACTGTCCTTAGGGGGTAGCTCGCTCACATAGCAGATGTTCTCACTGTAGTTGGGCTTGAAGCTCTCTACAATATCTTTGGGGACTCCAGCCCATTCCTTTGGGAAGAAGAGCAGGATGAAAGGAGTCAGCACCCAGTCAAGCCCCAACTTGCAGGGGGTAAGCCCAGGACAGAGCTGCCCACAGCCACCTTACCTGGAAGTTGCCATTGTGGGTGATGAAGAGCTCATCAAAGTTCTTGCTGGGATTGGGGATTCGGGGCATGAGGATGATCCACACTCTGCATGGGAGAGACATGTCAGAGGGGAAGAGCCCTTGCGCTGCTGCCCCCCACCAGCACCCCACATTCACCTTTCCATGCGCACCAACAGGATGACAAAGATCAGCAAGAGCAGGCAGGCAATGGGGATCAAGATCGTGTGAAGCCAGAACCAGAGCAGCTGCTCCTTGGGGGCACCTGGAAAGAGCCAGGGTGACACTGCCGCTGCAGGGGAGTGGGCATGCCAATGGCCCTTTGTGGGTGGCCATGGGAGCTTGGCAGGGCTCAGCTGGGACTGGAGGATGGAAAAGGAGCCCATCCCCAAGCGCTGCCCCACTGTCACTACAACTGGCTGGTGACACTCTCCTGGACCAGCTGTGCCAAAGCTAAGAAACCTCTGGCAAAAGTCAGCAGGTCCTGCTGGTGGGGTGTGTTTGGTTTCCAGCAGCACAAAGGACACAGGGGTCAATGCCATTGCCTGTGCTCCAGGAGCTCAGATGGGACTCGCCCCTACAGCTGCTGCCCTGTGCCAGTTTTCCACTTGCTTGGCCACCCCTTGGCTGCTGAGCCCCACTATGCCCCAGCCCACCCTGTCTTGCCACAATCCCCAGGACCTACCCTTGCTTGTGGAGTTGCTGCCCCAAGCCACCGGAACGCTCCACTCGCTCCAGAGCTGGGTGTTGCCACAGTAGCTGTTGATTTTGCTGCGCACATAGAAGGTGTAGTACTTCTCATAGTCCACGCTGGGGAGGGAGAAGACATCTCCTTTCACCCGATGCTCCTGCAGAGAGACATGGGCCATACAATGAGGGCCAGCACTTGCTGTGTGTGCTGCTGCACGGCCCATCCCTGGCCACAACCACAAGGGTGCTGCGTTGGGGAGGCTCGCACCGTCCAGCTGGTGTCTTTGTTGCTCTTGTACTTGACAGCATGCTCCAGGCACCTGGCTTTGGGGTACGGGGAGGCCCAGGTCAGCTGCAGCTGGTTGCCACTCATGTTGTGGATGGTCAGGTTGACGGGTGCCTCTGGTTTCACTGCAAGGCACAGGTGATGCCTGGTGAGTGCTGTCCCCATGCCCTGGAGGCGCTTCCGCCAACCAGGACATGACGGGACAGCCTTGGAGACCCACAGTCCTGCTCCCGCCCTACAGCAGTGCTGTAGAGGAGAGTGGGTGCCTCTCACTGCTCCGTACCCAGGTCCTGCAGCTGCATGGGCTCACTGGGGATCCTCAGGGTCCTGCCACCGAGGCTGGCGTTGATGAGGACGTGGAACGTCTGGAACTGGATGATTTCGCTCTGGTTGAAGCGGCAGCCGACGCTGACACCCTGGTCCTGCAGGTAGTGCATGCACTCCACCACGGGGGGCCTGTTCTCATACCTGGGCCACAGCAGGTTACTG